TTCTGTCGTCTTCATCTCTGTTATTTTTTCTTGCTTCTGAAGTTACGCACAAAAGAACATGCTGAATTCCTTCAAGATCTCATTTGTACAATATCTTTGACACTATTTATTGACTAAATAATTCTCCTACAACTCAATGAAAATAAACCAATAAAGTTTCACATAAATTTTCACTTCCAACTTGCAAGTGGCTTAAGCAATTGAAGTTAGCAAACTATAAATTTGTGTGGCAGGGATTGAATTGTGCCTTTTAACTAGTATTAAATAGCTCAACTTCTGAAATCTTGTTGAAAAAATAATTCTTTTTTGTGAAGTGTGTTCTAAGTGTTTCAGGTAAATTACGTCTATCAGAAATAAATACTCCTCTGTTGCTGTCTGTGACTGTTGTCATCATGAAACGATCTGCCATTCTTTCTTTGGCACTATTTGCATTCCACTGAAGGAATAATCTCATTAAAATCACCAGAACTACTTGGATTCTGCTCGGAAGGAGTAAGGGCAGGTGACTATGAATAAGAGCAGGGAACTCTTAGTTTATTGGTTCTGTATGCTGGTCTATTGCTTGCTATTTTTCTGCTTGTATGTGAACATTCAGTATTACGTCTAGTCATGTGAAGGGATCCGGATTATTTGGGCGGCACAGTGCTTCACAATGGAAATCAGGGCTGCATAGCCTACTCCTTTAATCAGAGGCATCTGTGAGCGTACAGGAGATTCAGCTGTGGACAATAGGCCTTAATTTATTGCATTATAACATGAACAGATATGATCCTGTAAGGGACCAGCATTCATACATTTGCACCTGAGTGGAGGTGGAAGCAGGTCAGTACTTTGCAGGGCCAGGCCAATGGAGAAAAGATGCATTGCCCTCTGCAAATGATAGGACAGGAAATCTTCCTATGGTTCAGGCCAAGATTACAAATTAGGGTTAATGAAATGCAAGAATCACATTCTACCTAATGTTCAAAGTTGCAGTTAGCTCAGAGTTGATATATCTCTTTTCCAAATAGAATGGGGTCAAAATAGTCCATTGAAATATGCATAATTTGTTTCAAAATGTTTTAAGATTATGAACAATGAGTCAAAGGAGAAGCTACAATCAATATTGCTAACACTTGCTAAGAAACTCAGTAGAGCTGCAGCAACTGTAATGCTTTTGGTGCAAATATTTACCTAAGGCATATTTAAATATTTATCCAGAAAGTATCAGTCTATATTTCTTTAGTCAAGCTCTTCTGGTTTTCCCACTGAAGTGAGTCAAATCTATATTTTACTCTGGTGTGGATGTATATAGAGGAAGCTCAGTTGTGCTCTTACAGGAGGTGTTAAAAGGATCATGAAAATTGTCTGGAAAAGAGTTCAAAGTGTATTATTTTTTTTTTTAATGCCTTTCTGTGTTTGTATGAATCACAGAGGCTGGCAAATATTAACTGTAGAGTTCTTGCCTCGACAAATGCTGGCACGTACTAGTATAAGTTCACTAACAGTATGGACTTATATTTCTCTAAATGATGTGGTGGGATTGAATGGCACCTCACCATATACAGAAGTTCATTTTAAGCGAGGAGGAACAGTTTAGTGGTCTCAGGTTGTGACTGAAATATCTAGACTTTCTGGAACCACAGATCTGACTTCTCCCATGGCTGACTGTCCTTCATAATTTTTAAAGCACTGTAGGTAAACCGAATACCATGCAGTTTACTGTGGTTACCTAACGTTAAGTCTCCACATGGACAGGAATCCCATAACAGTTTTCATACAAAATTTGGGGCCTTACTTTGGGAAAAAAAATCTCCATTTTCTGCCTGTTGTTTTACAGTGCTATAATCTGTTGTATTCCTAGTCTGTGTTTCAGAGGTGCTGTGTTATATATGTAACTGTAGATAAGTAATTATGGCGCCTTTACATAAAAGGATTTATATAAATAATTCTAAGTTTTCATTGTGGAACTTTGCATGAAGGATTTGCAAAGAGCAAGAGAAAAGTCAGCGTAATTTTGCTCATTTATTACCATGGAAACAGAGGCAGACACGGGAGTGGTGGCCCTGCTACAGCTGACTAGCTAGTCAGTCTCATGCCCCAATACAGCTTTGGTCTGCCTTCTTATTCAAAACTCCCATCTCTTAACTCATCTGATAAAGCCTGGGGTGTTCTTTGTCTTTAGCACACCTTCGCATCTTAAAAGTCATAATATTTAATGGCCTTGACTTTCATGGTGGCCTCTTCTGAGCCAAATGATAATAATTTTATTAATATTTCCTTTAAATTGGCTGTTGTTTTAGGAGCAGCTGTAAGTATCCAATGCAATATGTAAGGACAGCTGTTGTGTTTTTTTCCTCAGACCTGTGACAACTTCTGGTATCAAGAAGTATAGACAAATTGTTAAATAATGAGTGTCTTCAGTGACTAACTTTCTGGCTTTAAGTCTAACAGAGTGCAATGAAGGCAAACAACAAGATGCTGTGCATAGCTCTTATTTTGTTTTCTGAGTTTTCAGGTTTGTAAATGGCAGGAGATGCACAGTGCAGTCTTTGGAATCGAGAGGATCCCAATAAGACAATGCCCAAGCACTTAGGAGGTTAGTAGAGAAAGAGCTACCTTTACCTATACAAAAATCATAACAGAGGCACATTATTACTTTCTGTGAGATTGACTTCTTTGTAGCAATAACATCTAAGAAAGCAGAGGGTGAGTATCTCCTTGCAGATAGATACGGATTGTAAGCAAGGGAAATACAAGTGGAAGGCACAATGAATTCAAATTAAACAAACGGAATTAATTTTTAGGCAAGGGACTGAGAGACGGTATCTTAGCTAGGCTATAGTTTAATATGTACCTGTGCTTTCATCTTTCCTTAAGCCACAGTGGGATCACTGGCAGCCATCAGCAAAGCAGCCACGTGGACAAGGAAAAGACAGGCAAAGTAAATTGACAGTGTCACAAACTGTTTAACCTGCATAATCTGGGGCGGGGGGTGGAGAGGACAGACCTTATGGAACAGTTCATTGATCTGCTTCCCCTTATTTTAAACATTAGCTTTCTAAAGCAAACTTATTCCAAGGGAAAACCATATTCTGTTTAGACTGACATACGGTAAAAAGATTATCTAGTGTCATCTGGAGAGTGGCCAATTTCATAGGAGACTAGCAAATGTTCTCTGCCTTTTCTGGTAAGGGATTTTATTTAAAACCACAATGTCATGCAGTGTGGCATTATGTAATTGCCTAACAAAAACTATCATATATGGGCACTCTGTTGTTATTTTTATATAAATGTATCTACCACTAAGTTTCACAATCAGTATAAACATAGGTATGACACTGGTCTTTTTCTTTCTCCCCTCCGCCCATGTACAACTGCTCTAATAGGGATTATACTTGTGCACTGCCAGCTGCTCATTTGGAATTGGGGGGAAAAGTTAGCAGCATCATTGCAGCGATAAAGAGTCATTCTCAAACCACAGCAGAACTGCCTCTGCAACATCCTCGTATTTCATTATCCTTATCTTGGCTCTCACTTCTGTTTTTTCAGGTTTTGTGCTATATTTTCAAGGTTGCGCTAAGTGTTTTTGTGATGGAGTTCTCTTATACTTTGCATTTAGCTATGATTGTGACAGAGACACAGTCCATGTTAAAAACCACAAAGTAACATCAATGAATTCAATAATGGGATTCTAAAGGATTACACCAATCTGGGTTTAATCACATTACTCAAAAAATTTAACATGTAGCCTTACCACAGGAATGCACTTGAAAAACTATTTGGGTTTTTTCCTTTAAGTGGAAAGAAAATGAAGCTAATTCAAACCTGTCTATTTCAGATCTTGAGGTTATTTCAAAGGAAGGCTGACATCTTCCTGTCCATGTAAATCAACTTTGTCTTCTTGAAGGCTGATTATTCAATCAAGTCCAGAATGAGTCTGTGGCACACCTGGAACAAGAAACCAATCCCTGACTACATTGGCAGGATTTCCACCTACTTTGAGAAATAAAGCTCAGAGATGATGCGGGCTATTTGGACTCCTGGCACAAGTCAAAGGATACTTTGGGACCAGTGAGGTATACAAGAGAACAGCACCAGATCCGACTGCCAAACAGTGTTTTAACCACATAGCAAATATTCCTATGAAGTTTTTTGGTACTGGGTGTTTTTATGCTACAAGCTTAAGTACTGAGGTGTCATTAGTTGAGAGGAGCAACAAATCTTTCCAAGGTTATCAAGTCAGAAGGATATTATGGTGTTAAGGCATTCTTGGGATCTGTTCCAGGAAGTTTCTTCTACTGGGAGATATCTCTGCCTTGGAGCAGGAGGTCTTTGTCCACAGAGCATGGCCTCTTGTAGGGGAGAAAAGTGGTGCCGCATTCGAAGTTGGGAGAGTCTCCTCAAAAACAACAAGCACTGGGCCCAGGGAATGATTCCCTCATTAGCAGCACGCTCCTGGAGATTGCCTGCGGCAATCTGTAGCCTTCCCCCCTTCAAGATTCAGTGGGACCCTCACTCCTCAAAAAGGGTGTGAGCGCCCATCATGAATGAGAACACCTACCTCATAAGAAGACTGGGTGTAAGTTACGGTATTTGAAATCCGTTGTGTCTTGCATCAAAAGGAAACTCCTGGAACTGAAGAGACACTTCTGTCCAGAGGCAAAAATATCCAATCTGTTTACCTCTAGCTATGTAATTAATGACTGATCAAGGTTAAGTGTGCCATATCCTGTAAGAAAAAAAATGCTGACTGAACGTGTTGGTTTCAGTCTTGTAGCCTGGGCAGCAAGAAAGAATTGCAGAGTCATTTCCACTCTCCTCTGCTTTATATATGGAGGGACATGGAAAGTGGTGACCTAGTTTCAAAAGAACGGTGTTATCTCAAATGACTCCTGCCTCATTTATCCAAGACATGAATGCATCAGAAGGAAAAGCACTTTGACAAGCATTCACAGAAGAAAGAGCTGTGTCACACAGCTGAGTAAATGAACAAGCAGAGAGATCGGCAAGAAAAAAACTCATTACAAGTAATGTGGTTCAGCTTCCCAGGGTAAGAAAATTGTCTTCCCACAGCAGCCCAGACACCTTCTGTTTTAGAAAGTCAAGATTTAGAGAGGACTGACTAGATGCCTCAGTAAAGCTCACAAGGATAAGGAAGAATGAAATATATACTTTTACTTAATGGGGAAGGTTAAAGTCTGCTAGGTAGGCAGCAATAAAGAAGCACAAGCACCACTGCCAGACACTTCACTAAAGACAATTCATAAAGCCAAGATTTACTGTAATAAAATGTGAAGAAAAAAGAACTTTGCTCAGGCACAAAACCTATCAACAAAATCAGTCAGGGACAAAAAATGGCAACACGCTGATCACATTCCCAGCTTCAGTCTCAATTGCATCATAAACCCATTTCCTATTGCAGCGACATTCTGGTCCACATTTGTTTGAATTGCATTTGGGGCAGGGATAGAAGCAACCCAGACAGTTCTTTTCCAGGCAATCACACAAATCCATGTTATTACAAAGCAGCCTGCCATGTTTGTCATACTTCTTTGTAATTCTGCGAAAGAGAAGAAAAAGTGATTCTCAGAGAATGCTTCAATATGTTCGAAGTCTAAACCAAACAAATGCGGAAAACATCTGTCAGGAACAAATATTTCCTCTTGAACAACCTCACAGTATAATGAAATACCAGCATAATATCCTAATTGCAACAGCCACTGTTATTAAAAATGAAAGTGTGCCAAAGAAGTAAATAAAAATTCTCTTAAGTCCCACAGAAAAAGCTTGTTTTCCCAGCACAGCTTTCATCTGTAATAAAGAAAGAAATCTCTCTGCAAAATATTAATGCTTTTATTCATGTCATTTATATTCAGTAAACAGCATACCAGCCATTTTTTAAAGTAAAATATGTAATAAATTAGCACATCTTACTTGGGCTTATAAAAAAAATCTTGCTTCATCTGTGACATGCGCGCTTTCTTTTTCTGCTCTCTAGTTTCAGGATTGAAGTCAGCTACCTGAGGTCCTGGATTTTGAAAGGCTAAGCATTTTAATTGTTTCTCGAGTTGTTGCTATAAATAAACAACAGAAAGTTTATAATTAGTACAATTGGAACAAATATTTATTAGCTGCCAAATTCCTTACTGGCTTTCAAATTACATTAAAATTAATGCTCTTGATAACTTAGAACAACACAGGTAGGAAATGAAGCAAAACTCGACCTAAATTATGATCACATTGTTTAAAATGTTTGCTTGCCTAACTGTTAATTGAGTATTCCTTTGACCGACTGTGCATCCTGACAGGAGAGGGAACAACCTCAACTCTGAATACATGGTGGTACAGTGGTTCTGGTACGGTGGCTTGGAGTTTGAAAGTTGTTTTGCGGGAGGCAGAATAATGTATTTTTTTTTCTTCAACTTTATCCATAATGTAAAAACAAGTACTATGATTATAAGCATCTCTACTGGATTCGCCCTTATCTTCGCTGTTCCCTCAGATGCCTAGAACTCATCTTTGTTCAAACAATCTGAGGGCAAGAGAAATGTCTGGAGGAGCAACTAGTACAGGAAGGTAGCATTTGCACAAGTGAGGATTATGAAAAAAGCACAGACAAAAATAAAGAAGCTAAACTGAGCACAGCTTTTGAGAAATAGGAGGGAGCATTTTCTCGCCTATTTTGTGGAATTCATGTCTGCAATGAGCTAAAACCACTGAATAGTTTTGGAGGTTAAAACATCAGCTCTGTGTATTGCCATTCCACATAGCCCATGTATGTTGACGGTCATGTCAAGTCAATGCAAACAAACGTTCACATTGTGTCAATCAATTTCTGTTTGGACAATGACTGTGGACATTGTACAGACACTTGTCATTCATTATGCAGAGGCACACACGTACATACAAATTTCTCTTTTCTCCTCTTAGGTAAATGGAGCTGACTTGCCACCCCTCAGCTTCCCTGGAGGGTGTCATTCCTTTCAGAGTCCACAGTGATTTTTCACAAACAAGTGAGTGCCTTCATTGCTTCTCGTGGGGAAAGCAGGGGCAGTTCAGTCCAATCTGCTGATACAGTGATTTAGAAATATCCGTGCCCTTGAGTGCACTTACTTACAAGGTAGTTGATGCTGTGCATCTTCAGTTGCACCCTGCTGAAAACCTACAGGACAATCTCATGCACCTACATTATTCAGACATTTCTTCGAGTCTGGGGTAGATTTTCAGTGCAGAAAATATGCTTCAGCATCATCATTGTCCATGATCATAAATTACACAATTTCAAGTTGGAAACAAATAATAAGCTATGGAGATGGTCCTCCCTGTAAGAGTACGCTCCTATTTCCCTACTTACTATTTTTTTCTATCCCAGAAGTGCTCTTAGCCCTTTAAATCAATGCACTGCAAACTTGACTCATTTCACTGTTGTTATTACTGATCTTGCCCTATTGACTCCAGCTTTTTATTTTTGTAATTATGGAAGAAATTGAAGGCAATGGTAAGTATCTTGATAATAAAATGGTACTGGAGAAGTCATACCAATTGTTTTTGCGTTATTGAGCAGTCCTTAGCAGAAGAGACATTTCCTTCTGCAGACGTTTCCTGGTCAGAATTGCTTTTCTTGCAGTTTTCTTCTGCATGATCACTCATTTGACCATCCTTGTGAAATACATACATACATATGTGTTAGACATATACAGAAGTGTGAGATCCTCAGACTTAAGTGAAGGTTTTAAGGTGAGCAGGTGATACCCATACTAGGCTTTTATGTATTCTTAACCCACAGCAAATGCAGAACAAAATGTGGCTCAGTATCAGCCTCGATTTTAAAACTGTATTAAAATAACATAACAAAAGCTGTATCACCAAAGCCACTCCTATTAGTCGTTAAGCAAACCTCGGAAAATCTATAGCGTTTAAATAACACAGAAATTGAAAGAAACGCTGTCATCTCTGAATCTGTTACTGACACCGCTTCACCGCGCTGTCACCTTTAACGTAGTAAAGGTGAGAGGCGGTATTCCCACAGAACACGTAAAAGCAATCGGCGATGTGAAGCGGCAACGAAGACAACAGCAGGCAGGAGCAGTCATTTCGCTTACCAGCAGGTGACACTCTTGTCCTCGCTGCGGTTCTTCTTGCAAGGCTCCAAAATCCAGCGGCCGCGGTGGGGGGCGGGGCAGCAGGAGGGGCCTGGGCGTGTTCTCTGACGTCATTCATAGACACCCGAAGCCTATGTCAGAGCTGCGTCCGTAGCAACTAGACCATTCCCTGCGGAGTCGCAATTTTCTTCCTGAAGACTTCAACCAATGGACTAAAAGTAAACTTATTGGCTTTTAAATCTCAGTCCTTAGCTTTGCGAATAAATAGAATCTGTAACTTTTAGGTTTAATAGAAAAAAAGTGCACCACTCTGCTAACAAAGCACCCAGGGAGGACTGGGTCCTGTGAGTCTGTCCTACAAACGCTATCCGTCACCTCTCCCCCATCACACAGAAATGGTGGTGGCAACTGTTCAGGACAGATGTTAGCTGCTACTTCTTACCCATCTTGTGAAGCTACTTAGTTAAAACTTTTTATGCAGTTCCAGTGCCTCAGACTTCAACCCCAAACACCACCAGAAATATTTAAGCTTTTTTGGAGTCCCTCCAACCCTTCCCCAGGTGCTGCCCAGTCTCTCCCATTGCCTCTGAAAGGTAATGCAGTTGTCTCTGCCAGGTTACCCTGCACTTCAGGATTGTTGCCCAAACCCTGTCCCAGAGACGATCTTCATTGCACCACTGCCAGAGGGCCAGCACCTCCCTGAGAGAAGCAGGAGAGGAGTCCGGGCCTTTAGTTCCCTCTGTCGCAGCCCCTCCCTGCAGGGCGACAGTCAAAGTGGGAATAGGAATGAGAAGGAAGAGACCTTGCAGTAACAGGAGGGGACGCTTTTTTGAGAGGTGAAAAGAAGAGTCTGCAGCCTGTTTTGGAGAGGATTTCCCTTTGTCCTCTTCAGTGACCTGAAAAATGACTGAGATTGTGACACTGTTCACAACGGGATGCTCTACAGCAACAGTTTTAGCCCTGGGACTTGAGCATCTTTTCAGGATTGGAAAAGGAAAGCTACTATCAGGCAATTAATGTTTGCTGTACGAGGGAGCCTGCTTTCCTGCTGGAAATTTGCTAGGGACCCACACATAAAACAAGAATGAAGGCCACTGCTCCAGAGAAAGTGAGTATTGCTCTTCATTTGCACTCAGGTTGGAGTCCTGATAAGGATTTGCTTCATACATCTCCTGTGTCCAACCATGCATCCAGCATTGTTAAGGCACTTTGTAAGTATGCACGACCATCATCCATACCTGTTTTTTTACAGTGTGCAGGGTTCAGGAGCAGAACAGCCATCAGCAGCTACCAGCGTAAGCATGCAGAATTCCCACATGCCCTCTGATGGTGTAAATATTTGACTCCTTTGGAAACTAGGTCCTAGCAGTTATCTGGAGCCAAACACCCAAAATCAGAAGCCACTTTTTAAATACTGGCAGAAAAGGAACAAGCTTCTTGTTCCAAACACGTGTTTTAAATGCCCTTGCACCTCAGTGAAAATATCGTGCACAGAAAACGTAGCACATTTCTGTCTCCATATATATTGCAAAGATAAAGTGTTAAATTTTAATCTCCAGGAAAGATACTAAAAAATGAGGCACAGTGTGACTGAGAAACTGTGCAAGATTCAGAAATTGGTGAGGCCCACAGGACTGATTATCCTCCATAGCATGTTCTGAAGGGGGATAGGGGAACAAGGGAGACTGAGACTCAGACATCCACTCTCGAGTCTGCAGAACCTAATTATCCAAAGGAAAGTATTCTTGGTCCTAAAGCAGAGTTTTTTCATCTACTGTTTTTGGTCTGGCTGTAGTGATAGTTCAGGGGCAATGCATTGAACACTAGTCTCTTCCATAAAAAATGTCAACTCTGAGGACAACCATCAATTGCACTCTTCCTCCACCAAAACCAGTGTTCTCCCACACCTTTTGAATACAGCAAGTACTTCCTGGAGGTGATCATCCACTTCTCAACATCCCACTGTGGCCGTAGCGTATGGCTGAGAACTAGCAATTTCAGCACAGACCCTTTCCACAGCTGAAAAGGCTAAAAGCAGATAAAGGGAGGAAGAAAATCAGAGGCTGTGTATAGTAAAAGAGACTTGGTTTTATCCAAGAGACAGATGTTTCTGCTCAGAGAACAGCTTCAGAAGATGTTGGGATTTGGAAGGAACTGCATTTGTTTATGATTTTCATAAGAGAAATATTTTCCTGTATCTGCTCTTTCAAGAATTTAATATTCCTATTTATGATCCTTGCAGATGGCACTGCTAAATGTTTCAGCTGATGTAAAATGTGGTGACCGGCATTCCAGATACTTCAGGCTGCTTGATCTCAGCAGCCTAAAGCTAGTATCTCTGCAGGGTGAATGCACATTGTTTTCAAGTTGTATTTGTTCATGCCATTGGAGACTTTCTGCCTGAGATCTGTAAGCACGTTCATCACCTTCATCAGGGCAAGACAAGATGCTGTCCCTATGGCTTTAATCCCCCTGTGCCCATATGGATTAGACTAACCCATTGCAATAGTCCCATCTTCTTCATAGCCTAGTTCTGCAGAGATGTTCTGCAGGGCTCAGAAACCAGCAGTCAGGTTTGTGGCACATTCAAGTATGCATCTTGAAATCTCTATAGGACGTCTGGTGCCAGCCAAATTAAGAATGAGAATAAATTAATCTTCCTCAGGATCAACTATGGACTGAGCTGTAAAGATGTGGAAAAGCCACTTACCAACTAGTCTGTGCCTTCTCTCATAGCCCCAAATGTGCATGTGTGTTCAGAAGATGGCCTTGAAGCTAGTCGGGAAACACAGACCAGATGAAGAAATAGGTCTCGTCTCTTGTAACTCATCTGGTTTTCCAGAAAACTGACAGACATGGTGACAGAGCAATGGCCAATTCTGTGACAGGAGTCTGGATGAGCAAATCCCGCCCTCTCACACTAAAATAAAACAAATCCTCATGAGTTTTCCCTCCCAAACGCAGAGCCTTTCTGCCGTATCTGGAAGTGAGTGAACCTCTAGCTGAACTCTAAGACATACTTATAAAATCATATGCATCTTCTGGTTGTCATGCAATAGGCAGAAGAGATCTGCCAGACTTACCTTCTGAAAACCTGCACTTCTGAAGGGCATATGTTCAGTTCAGAGCAGACAGCAAGAGAGAAAGGGGGTTCTCAAGAATTTTAAATTGTACTTACCAAAGGAGGGGGCTGGTACAGTGTAGGTTTACTGCTGCACAATTCCTCTGATAGTGGAAGTATGACATCAGCCCCGGAGTGACTGAAACAGAAGACAAATAATCAAAATAGTGCTCCCCAGAGAAGCAGGCTGAAGACAGTGCCAGGTAACTATCTTAAAGGACCTCATACTTTCTGTCTTATTAATTATGGCTTTTAAATAGTACTTAGTATAAAGAGTGGAAATAGAGAAATTATATAAACTGGAATGAGAGTCCTCATTTATTACTTGCATCTGTGGTGTGTTCACAGACCAAATGTATTTCTTAGAGCTTTTTTTTCTTAAAGGTAAGTAAACAAAAAAAAACCTGTAATAACTACTGCATTTTACAAAAATGGAGATTTTTTTTAGGACATGGATGTAGTAAAGGAATATTTTACCACTTCAGACAAAACATTCTGGATTTTGTTCACTATCATCTCCAACAGTCAAAAGTCATCAAATAAATATGCTCCCCAATAGCTAAAGTGACAATGCAACCTCATGATTCAGCTTGCTGCCTTTCAGGACTGTTTGTTGCACTACTGGAGACAACTCAGGCTCCTCCTGATACTTCCAGATGCCAATTTCCAGCATGGTGCAATCACTTATGTCTTTCATTACTCTTCCCTAGAACACAGCTAAATCCTAATAAACATCCAAAACTGTCAAGTCTTATAAATTCTCCTGTTGTGCTTAGACAAATAGTCCAACGTGTCTTTTATCTTCATCAGCTGTATCCATCCATTCTCTGAGGTGTTTCACAAACCAGTCTGAGGGCAAGTAAATTTATTATTTACCACACTATTTTCCTTCCCTCCAAACACTTTTAAAACCAAAAGTTGATGTAACATTCTAGCAGCAGACCTTAGCTAGGTGATTTAAATGCTGCTACACATACCTTCATTTTGTTCCACAGACTGTTTTCCTTGTCATGAAAAACAAAACAGAAATCCCTTGGGGAAAAAAATTCACAATCTCCAAGGTACTCATACAACAGCAAGCCACAAACAAAAACCTAGAACCTGCTTATATTTTTTCCAATGTTCTTCTGATTTCTCCATATTTTACATAATGGAGAAAACAGGAATTTTTTCAGTTAATTTATATTAACTCTTTTTTTATATATATATATATAAAAAACCATATATGTATTAACTTTTATATATATATAAACTATATACTATAACTTATAGAGTTAATCTAAATTAACTTTTTAGTTAATTCAGTTAAACCACCATATGTTTAATATCTCCTTTTCTTCCATTTTGCTAATACTTATATACGTGTATCTGAACTTTTTCTGAATTGTTTGTGCATGAGTTATGACAGTTGTTTATTATGGCATACA